GCGATCCCCGATGCTGTCTGCCCGCTCCCTCCCGCGAGCCCACCATGCCGTCCCCCGCCGAGCCGCGGACCGACCATTACCTGGCCGGTGTGCGTGACCTTCTCCCCTGTCGGCGACACCCGCACGCCGAAACTCCGGGCCACCCGGGGCAGCCACAGCAGCTGGCGGAAGGTCACTGCCGCCGCCATCTTGCCTGTGACCCTTGACCCGGCGCGCCGTCGCTCCGAGGGCTGCGCATGCGCCTGGCTTCCGGCGGGGGCCTGTGCTCCCCCAAGAGGTGCGCGTGCGCTTCGCCGTCTGGGAAGGCTGGGGCTGCGCTCAGTCCAGGCCGAGCTCTTGGAGTACGCAGGTGATCCGCAGTTAGTAACGCCCAGCGATTCTTACGTGGGAAAGGCAGAGGAGGGTGGAAACTGAAGACGCACTGCTTGTATTCTCTTGACATCGATAATCATGAGAAGTATCAGTATCAGTATTTTGGGTAGACATCAGTGCTTAGCAGAAGAAAATGGAAGTGCATCCCCCTTGCAAAATATGCAGCATTCCTGGTAAGGAGGCAGCCTAGTTTGTGGATTTCTGCAACAGAGACCTAATAAAAGCTACCAGTAAAACTACAGTCGATTTTATCTAGCATGCAAAAACACAGGCTTGAGAAATGCCTAAGACAGGGTACAAAACTCTGGCCTCCAAACCTGGTATGGGCTGTTTCGCCCCTCAGGCTTCGTCCTCTAATGTAAACCTTTTTCATAGACTTTTCCAAGGGTTAAAGTCAGACAGGGGCCAGCCCGTAGACCGAGCAAGCTCGAACATCATAGGGACAAGATTAAGGTGGGGCCCTGAATTTACAGGAAAAGCAGGAGTGGGGTTGAGGTGCTAATTCCCTAAGGAGTTAACAGAAGCTCACATGTATCTATGCGGGCGCCACAGTCTGGATTCTGGTTTGATGCACTGGTAGCTGCAGCCAGAGTCTGAGGACCAGGTGACTCCAAGAAAAAACGCCTACATATTGCTGGAAGGTATTGGGAAATGACAAAGAGGAAGAAAAGTCGATAAGAAACAATGCGCATAAAAGCCTTCAGAAAAAGAAAAGGTGGTCCAACAAATGCCATGCTCAGAGGCAGAATTGTCTCAAAGCTAATAAAACTCCAGGATCCTGGTGCTCACCAGGTGAGGTACAAAGGTGGGCTACCGGATTAGCCTTGTGAACTGGCGAAGAAGTGCCAGCCTGATTCGACTCACTTCGCTAGACGTAAAAACTAAGATGGATGAATTCACTTATAGATACCTGAAAACAAATATTCAGAGAGCTAACTGGACAATCTAGGTGTTCACTCTAAAATTTGTTGCACTGTTTTACGTGTTTGGAGCTTTTTTTATTCGTGATCAATTAGGGCCACTGTCTCTAGCCACTCGCCTCCATGAACCCCTTCATATTTCTGCCAGGATGTCACTTATAGAACGTTACCTTTATGTTTAGACACCGGTTTGTCAGTTTTTTCTGTGTCTAAGTGGTTGTGATTTCTTTTTCATTGTGAATATGCGGTTTCACTCCCACTAGTGCATTTTCGCCCAAGGCACACAGGTAGCGGACCGGAAGGGTTCGAGGGAGACCGGTGCGAAACGCCCGGCTAGCCGAGTGCGCATGTGCCTTTAGCTCGGCGCCTGATGGAGGGTGGGGAGGGGCAGGAGACTCGCCTCCATCTTACTTCCGGGCGGTAGCGTCCCGCGCCACTGAGCAGGCGCGTGCGCAGGCGCAGGAGCGGAAGAGGGGGTGGTGCGGACGGACGGTTCCTTCCCAGGTCAGGTCCCGGGCGCCTCTGTTTCCCCGGGTGGGCAGCGGGTGGG